AATTTGGGTGGATGATGCCTTTGATAATTTTGTTTTTACCAAAGTACGTAACTTTCTCCTTCAGTATTCGAAGATGAAGCATTGCTGGAGGCTGCACTTTGTACGGAAGTTGTGCTCTGCGTGTTAGATACACTAGAGACGATAATACGAGTAATTTCCATGCCTGGCAGCGATCATTTGCACTTTGCCCTTCCGATGGTTCTGAGAGTCATGGTAAGAGCCTCGTCTTTTTATTGTCTTTAGTGGCTCCTCTCGTAAATGCCCTTCTCTCTTCCAGATGCACATGTTTGCATGCAATCAATCCGTCCAAGCGCTCGAGTGTATCTTCGTAAGTCAGCGAACACTAGTGAAGAAATTTTCTGATGTAATTTTTGAACAGGTTAATTATAATACTCGTCTTTCAATGCTCTAAGCTCATCTGGTAAACTTTTAGGAAGCCGAGCAATGTGGAGAGCTTTGTTTGCAACTGTTGCGGCATTGTGCGTCAAGGCTACCGGCTGTGCGATCACAGGTAAGACTTTGGCTTTCATGATACCCTTACTAAGTTAATGATTTCTTTTGTAGGCAGCGGCTAGCTTGTACCTCTTGATGAGAGAAAGCTTCGAAAACGGAAGTAGCTTAGCCAGAGTAAAGATGCAGATCACCATGTCGCTGTCAACATTGGTCTCGAATGCGACAAGGGAAGGTGTTTGGCTGAATGAAGACTGCCTGAGAAGAAGTCTCAAGGTGAGGAACTTGCTTTGACAATTAAGTCTACTTTCTGTGGGCAGTTACTTTTCAAAGTCAGCCACTAGCCATAAATGCCTGAACACGGCATTTTTTCTTATTGAAACTCTTTAATGGCAAAGTCTTGATAATGAGTTTTTGCTCGATTACATCCTTTTTGGTATTCGAGAGTATGCTAACAAGCACACATCACTCATGTTGCTATAAAATACATGCTTTGGCATTCTGGTAATCTCTCTCTGCAAAGATTTCTACAAGCGGAATTGGTCTGCGCCTAAAGTTTTAGCTTTTTCCGATCACCTACAGAGCCAATCAAGTGGTTTTATCCATATTTTATGAATATTGGCGACATTTGATGTCTTGTTATCTTTGGGGAGTTGAGTTCTTATCAAACCTCCGAGCGCGAAACGTACAGTCAGAAATTCGGGTAGAGTATCCTGTAAAAATCCGAAAAGCTTTTCGGTCAACGATATGTAATTTCTTCCTTCACAAAACTTTCTGCAAATTTGCCTATTATCTCTTTTGAAATTGTTCTTTAGAAGTGCACAATCCCTATGCATTCTTATCCAGTAAATCATCAGCAACTTGCTAACTAATAATGTTTGTTTTATTGCTATCAAATACTTGTAATTCTTTTGATTAATGGTGGGTGGTTAATTTTTTCAATAGTATAGCTTTCGAGGGAATTATAAAATGGATTTTCCAAATCAG